TCCGTCCTTCCAAGGTTGGTAAAATGAGGACCCAGATTGTGGGAGCAATAGGCTGACTCTGTAAACCACTTAGAGAGGGCTGTAAAAGCACTACAAAGCGGTATATAAGTCTAAGTGCTATTGCTATCCAAAGATACTTACGCCCTAATCCTGAAGTTCCAACCACTGCCATCACAGTCACATGATCACCTTTGGAACACTGAGCAACCAGCCTGAATTGATGGCCGTTTACAGTGCTCAGTAGCCACATGGCTACGATTTAGGACTTCTTTGCTCAAAAACAGTGTTTATTTCCATGTTTTGCAAAAAAAAAAGAAGCAAACAATAGTTTTGCTTCCCATATTTGCATTTGCTTAATTTGCAAAAAGGTCTGTAAAATTAGGTTGATCCCGTGGGTATCACACGGGCAGGCTCCTTACAGTCATAACTCAAGGACCACCTGCACACACAAAATAATAGACGTGGGCACCACAAACCCAAGTCTTAAGGGCCGCTCGGCTAAATGAAATAACTAGCCCAGGGGGGTCTTCAAACTTGACAGCTTTAAGACTTGTGTGGACTTCAACTCTCCCAGAATCCCTCCCCCAGTCATGTTAGCTCAAGAATTCTGGGAGTTAAAGTCCACAAGTCTTAAAACTTGCCAAGTTTGAAACACCAAAGATCAGCCCTTTAAGGTAATTGCCTCATTCTGTTGCCTAGATATCCCAGGGCAGGAGGGAGAGAGAAATAGCTTCCTGCTGCAATGTTTGGCGTTCTCCTTTTTTCCAAAATTTGATCGTAGCCTGCTTTGTGGATGGGATCCTGCCTCTCAATATGGAAGCCAACCAGCTGCTCTCGGATACCTTGGAGATCTTGAACTGCAAGGAGATCAAACTCTCGGCCATGAGATCCAGACCGGAAGAAGACATCCAGCCGGAAGAAGACGAGTTGGCCATGGCCAATGCCGTCATGCAGGTCGCCCAGAAGAAGCTGATTTCACAAGTGAGTCTTGCAAATAACGCCACCCGGAGTAGGTTGTTCCTTTTAGTTTTCCCAGAGCGAAATAAAATAGAAATAAATAGAATAACAGCGTTGGAAGGGACCTTCTAGTCCAACCCACCGCCCAAGCAAGAGAACCCACACCATTTCTGACAAATGGCAGTCCAATCTCTTCTTGTAAGCCTCCAGTGATGGCGCTCCCACAACTTCCGAGGGCAACTTCTGTTCCATGGGTTGATGGTTCTCACTGTCAGAAAGTTTCTCCTTGTTGCCAGATTAAATCTCTCCTTGTTCAGTTTCCATCCATTGTTCCTTGTCTGGCCTTCAGGGGCTTTGGGAAATAGCTTGATCCCTTCCTCTCCGGGGCAGCCCCTCAAATATTGGAAGACTGCTCTCATGTCTCCCCTGGTCCTCCTCTTCCCTAGACTAGCCAGGCCCAGTTCCTGCAACCATTCTTCGTATGTTTTAGTCTCCAGCCCCCTAATCATCCTAGTTGCTCTTGTCCTGCCCTCAGCTGCTTTGGAGAATAGCTTGGCTTCTTTGTGGCAGCCCCTGAGATATTGGAAGACTGTTCTCCTGTCTCCCCTGGTCCTTCTCTTCACTATAGACTAGCCAGGCCCAGTTCCTGCAACCATTCTTTATATGTTTTAGCCTCCAGTCCCCTAATCACCATTCCTGGAAATGTTCTCAAATACCCCAAAGTTGATCCCATCTCTACGCGCGCTCCATCTCATGGTGCGTTCTCTGAATTGTTTGGAGCGGGCAGCCCTCTTCGCCTAACTGTATCTTTCCATATTCTATCCGAATTCTAGGTCCAAAAGAAGAATTTCATTGAAAATGTCATTCCCATCATCACTTCGCTGAAGACCTTGTTGGAGCAAAATAAACTCCCAGCGTTGAAGGACCTCATGAATTACCTCCGGGTAAACTTTCTCAACTGGGATCATCATCGGTCTCTTTTTAACCACCTCATAAATCCCTTGCGGGATGGACAACTGGGCAACGGAATGGGGCTGTTAACTGGCCGGATGCCCTTCCTGTTGCCAGTGCAGAGTTTTGTTCAGCAGATATATTCTCATTGTGCCCAGAGAGAGAAATATCTACCTCTACCAGGGATCGAACTCGCAGCCTCCTGATTGTGAGGCGAGAGCTCCGCCTCTAGGCCACCACCCCACTCCATTTCTCAACTGGGATACTTGTATTAAAATCTGAGTCATGGGGCAGCACGTTCCTGAAGCTTGTGGTGAATATTGCTATCCCATCTGGACGGAGTCCCGTTCCACCATGAAAGCCAAGTGTAGAGATAGTCAACCTAATTGAGCTAAGACAATACTTTATTTATTGTCACAGTGCTTAGAATGTAGGCTAATTCTGCCAACTCCCAGCAGTTCAATTCTCACCGGCTCAAGGTTGACTTAGCCTCCCATCCTTCCAAGGTGGGTAAAATAAGGACCCAGATTGTTGGGGACGAGAGGCTGACTCTGTAGAACCGCTTGGAGAGGTCTGTAAAGCACTGTGAAGTGGCATATAAGTCTACGTGCTATTGGCTATAGAAGTGTTTTCAACCTTGGCAACTTCATGTGTGAACTTCAACTCCCAGAATTCCCTGGGTGGTTGTGCGGGGAAAATAGAAGGCAGAAGGAGTCTTAGATATGTTTGCCACCTTAGATATGTTCGCCACCTTGAATTGTTCATGAAAATAATAAAGGCGGGATATATAAGATCAATCAATCCATCAAGGGTTAAATAAACCAAGGAGGAAAAGCGACGTGGTTGCTCAGTGGCTAAGATGCTGAGCTTGTCGATCGGAAAGGTCGGCAGTTCAGCGGTTCGAATCCCTAGCGCTGCATAACCGAGTGAGTTCCCATGGCCTGTCCCGGCTTCTGCCAACTGAGCAGTTCGAAAGCATGTAAAAAATATGCAAGTAGAAAAATAGGGACCACTATTGGTGGGAAGGTAACAGCGTTCCGTGCGCCTTTGGCGTTTAGTCATGCCGGCCACATGACCACGGAGACATCTTCGGACAGCGCTGGCTCTTCAGCTTAGCAACGGAGATGAGCAGCGCCCCCTAGAGCTGGAAACGACTGGCACGTATGTGCGAGGGGAACCTCTACCTAAACCAATCGACTCAAATCCATCCAGAAAACCCAACCAGCGAAACCCCTTCCTACCCTCTCCAACCTTCTTGCTTTTATTTTTGCTTCCCTCCAGGAGATGATGCAAGATTACCGCCATGAAATCAAGGAGTTCTTCGCCCTGGACAAGCAGCTGGCGGCTGAGCTGGAGTACGATATGAAGAAGTACGAGGAGCAGCTGCAGAAGGAGGCTGAGCAAAACCAGGAGCTGAGCGTGGATCACGAAGGCCACAACACGCCAGTGGCCAGGCTGGTACGGAGCTCCCTTTCAGGCTAGGGGTTCAAGTCCCACGGAGCTCCTTCTGAAGCCATTCAGAGTGTTTTCCCCATGAAGTGGAGAGAAAGGAGCGTTATGCAGGTGTCCTCAACCTACAATCACATTTGAGCACAATTTATGTTGCTATTAAGCGAGTTAGTTTTGCTCCATTTTACGACCTGCTTTGTCACGGTTGTTCCCTGAATCCCTGCAGTGGTTAAGTTAGTAACCCGGTGTCAACTCATAAAATATTCCTCTGGTCTTTTCAGGAAGGGAGGGGGGAAGCGGTGGACAGCTTGCAAAACCAAAAGGGCATTCCATAAATGTTTTCAAAGATAGTCACTAAGTGACTGAAGTTTCCGCCGCGCAAAATTCTAACTGGAAAGCATGATTGATGACTCTGGGCTCTGGAGGTGTCCCATTGGAGAATATGAATTATGACACACCTAGGGGGTTGGGGGTAAACCAGGGTCAAGGGTGACAATGAATGATGTGTCTCAGAGTCAGCTGCACCCAGGCAACGCTGGCATGTGAACTCCCAACAAATCCTTTTGAAGTTTTGGAAGTTTGGCTCGAGACTCAGAATTTAATTGGAGTAACGGCCGGAATCCTTACACCTGGTTGTTAAGTGAATCTGGCTTCCGCAATTGATTTGGCTCGTTGGGAAGGTCACAAAAAGGGCATCGTGTGACACTCCCCTCTCCCCCGCCGGGGACAGCTGCCTCTATCCTTAATGTGAGTCCGTTGCCAAGCACCTGAATTTTGATCCCGCGGCCATGGCGACGCCACGACGGCCGTAGGTGTGAAAAACGGTCCCAAGTCACGTTTTTTTAGCGCTGTCGTAACTTCGGAACAGTCACTAAGTGAATGGCTATAAGTCGAGGTGTCAGCATTCCAGGAAACCTCCACTCCAACCAATAACTCCGAGACAGACATATTCTCAAAAGTTCTGGATTTTTTTTGCATAGTAAACTGGTCCATCTGGGGAATCCCGAATATGAAAGTTCCAGGTGTCCTTGCAATAAGTAAAAAACTACAAATCCAACTCCCTACACCCATCATCGCATCACATGCCCCAATCACCACCCGTCCCAACTTGAGATGTCCCCTCACCCAGGTGCAGAAAGAACATGACCTTGACTTAGAAGAAAAATGTTGTTATGTCTAACCACATACATTCCAAGAACTTCCCCTCCGCCCCTCGCATTTTCCCAGGCTCAAGAATGTGGCAGTGTGGAAGCATCTGGTCTCAATATGGCTTCCAAAGCCGACATGAGGACTGAGGTTGCAGTGGTCCTTTAGACCCTCCTTTCTGTTTTCTCCTTCAAATAACAGTCTTCCAGCTTGGAGAGGACTTCACATCCTCGGAATCAGATGGACAAGGCCTCCCCGCCTACCCAAAGCAATTCTCCCCCTCTGCGATCTCCTCTCTCGCCCCTTGCAATGTTTACCGTTCCTGGGACGGGAGCCATGAAACCCAGAGCCAGGTACCCTTCCTCTTCCTTTTCAGCCCGTGTGGCGCGAAAAAGCGCTTCATCTGTTTCCAACCGAGCATTTAAGTACCGTCTCCGCCACTCGGCGGGGCGGGGGGAATGCTTGAAGCTCCTCGGGTGGGGGCGAAAGGGCCAGCCATATGCACCGTTGGTTCTCCTCGTAGGAATCTGTCCCTGACTACTGTTGCCATCCTCAACTCCGCTAAGCAAGCCGTCGAGGCCCTGAAGGCGAAGCGCGGAAGAAGCATGGGGACTGGGGTGGAGCTTCTGGAGAGCAGACAAAGCGATAAAGGTAAGCTGTTCCCCAACCACTTGAGTCTAGTGGTTAAGGCTCCAGGCTAGAAAATGGGAGTTCTAGTCCTGACTTAGCCATGAAAGTCGGCTGGGTGACTTTGTGCTAACCACCAGGTGCCAGTGAATTCTAGTTCTGCCTTAGGTAAGAAAGCCAGCTGGGTATCTTTGAGTTAATCACCAGGAGGCAGGGAATTCTAGTCCCGCTTTACGCATGAAAGCCTACTGGCGGAGAATCAAAAAATGGCTGGAGGAAATTACCAGCTGAGCAGATTGAATTAAAAACCAGAATTCTTCCTATTAGGGATATTCAATAGACAACTTCCCCCAAAAGCTAAATATACAGTATAATATTACACATACTTACCGCAGCTAGATTAGCTTTTGCAAAATGCTGGAAACAAGCCTATAGTCCAACAGAGGAAATGACTATTCGGAAAATAGGAAACTGTGCAGAAATGGATAAATCGACTCTCGCACTTAAGGATAAAGAATCATCAGAATATTACAAGAGTTGGGAATGTTGGTGCGATTGGATAGAACAAAAATAGATAATATAATAGTAAACATTATTAAACTGTAAAGGAGATTAAGCTACATCGGTAGTAACTATATACTCGCATTAAGATTTAATTGTAAATATGACGCCAATAATGATAACAAATAAGGAACCACAAACTGTTGATAATGGAATTGCCCTTGATTCATTTTTTTCCTTTGTTTTTCTATGTTGTGTATGTGTTTGTTCGTTTATTTTAATTGTATATTCAAAAAAGTTTGCTTTTTTAAAAAAAGCCTGCTGGATGACTTTGAGCTAATCACCAGGTATCAGTGAATTCTAGTCCCACCCTAGTCATGAAAGCCAGCTGGGTGGCTTTAAGCTAATCACCAGGTACCAGTGAATTCTAGTCCTTCCTTAAGCACAAAACTAACACACTGCAGATATTTTCTGTGGCTAACATTGTCTTCCTTTCTTTTTTTCTTTCTCAGCTTCCTTTTGCAGTCTGAACCACCCGTCTTCCGTTACCAACAGACCCTTGGAAGGCCGCGCGATCAGTACTCCTGAACGTAAGTGTTTTTTAAAAAAAACTATTTTGGTTTGAAAGTTTCCTTGCTTGGAGGAAGAGCAGCTGGTCTGTTCCAGAGAGACTCTTAGTTCCCAAACAGTGGTTTCCAGCCCTCTCTAAGCGGTTTACAGAGTCAGCCTCTTGCCCCCAATAATCTGGGTCCTCATTTTACCAAATCTCGGAAGGATGGAAGGCTGAGTCAAACTTGAGCTGGTCAGGATCGAACTCCTGGCAATTGGCAGATACTGAATTGCAATACTGCATTCTAACCACAGGGAGGGAAGGGAAGGGAAGGGAAGGGAAGGGAAGGGAAGGGAAGGGGAGGGAGGGAGGGAGGAAGGAAGGAAGGAAGGAAGGAAGGAAGGAAAATAGCAATAGCTGAGTCAACCTTGAGCCACTGAAGAATTGAACTGCCGAACTGTGGGCAGAGTTAGCCCTGCAGTACTGTATTCTAACCACTGTACCATCACAATTGGTTAGCTAGTTAAGTGACATTCCTTGGTGAAAAGGCCAGGTATAAATGTAATAAACATTGAGTTTTTCCCATCAGCGTGTACTCAAGGTTGCCCATTTTGGGGTTTTTATTTCCCCAGAGTCCATTAACAACGTGACCTTCGGAGCCGGGGTCAGCCAAATTAGCCTGAACCTCACATCATCTTCTTGTAAAGGCAGGTGGAATCCCAATTTCGTTCTTGTTTTTTCTTTTCTTTTTTCTTTTTCCTTTTTTGAAAAACTTAAGCGTGGACCTGGCAACCTCGCTATAATGTCTCTTCTTTTCCTCCTGCAGTCAAAGAGGAACCCCAGGATCAGATCATTTGCTTGAACTCCCCGGATAAACCGTGAGTATAAATGAAACTCTTATGTGTCTTTCTGCACTCTCTTTCTTCCCCACGATCGGTGTGTCTCTGTGTGTGTGTGTTGTGTGTGTGTGTCTAAGGGTGGGTTCCACTTTAAAAAGTAAAACTAAGAAGCCTTCCCCCACCACCGTCTCATCATTATTAACCCCAATTTTATATTTCTTTTAGCTATGCGGTCATCTTATGCTCCTAGTTTTAGCGTATAATAGCAATAGCACTTAGATTTATATACAGCTTCATAGTGCTTTACAGCTCTCTCTAAGCAGATTACACCCTATTACCCCCAACAATCTGGGTCCCCATTTTACCCCCCTTGGAAGGATGGAAGGCTGAGTCAACCTTGAGCCAGTCAGGATCAACCTCATGGAGAGAGCAGTGAGTCAGTCTGCAATACTGCATTCTAACCCCTTCCTTCCTTCCTTCCTTCCTTCCTTCCTTCCTTCCTTCCTTCCTTCCCTCCTCCCTCCCTCCCTTCTTTAGCACATAGCACTTAGATTTATATACCACTTTACAGTGCTTTACAGCTCTAAGCAGATCACAGAGTCATCCTATTGCCCCCAACAATCTGGTGAGATTTAAACTGCCAAATTGCAGTCAGCCGGCAGTCAGCAGAAGTAGCCTGCAGCGCTGCGCTCTGACCACTGCGCCCCTGTGGCTCATGATGGATCTCAGCTAATTCTCCTGGATCCCATGGGCATTCTTTTTTAACTTTCTTTTCTGCATTCTTTTGTAGGCTGCCTCCGCCAGCGCCATGGAGGGTGAATTCTCCAAGAAGAAGCAGTCCGTCCAGTTTAAGTCTGCGGAGATCCAGCCGTAAAACATCCCGACAGCCAACGAAATGAGTGTTTTTGTTCCCGGCAAGAATGCCTCTTGCCTACAAGCAGAATCATGTTTCCAGAGCACTCTCGGCACCTTTTGGAAGATCATCGATCGATGCCTCCTAACCGTGTTAAGCTTGCTTGCTTTTATAATCGGTGGGCTATAAATAACCTGTTTAGTAGTACTGCAGTTGGAAATAACCAATGGCTGCCTGCTTTAGACAAGACCCCCTCCTTCCCCCCATATTTCGTTTGATATGTAGATGTCCTCTGGAGTATTTGGGTTGGTTGGGGGTCCATGAAGCTCGTTTAGGTCTGGGACTAACTTTGACAATTGACACGTAGCCCAGTGTTCTAAGTCCGCATGCCAGAAATGTCACACAGAGCCACCTCTCTGGGCACACCAGCCGTTGCCCGTTGCTCTTCTGCCGGCCAGCTGGTCTTCACACGCTTGGAAAACCGGAAGAGCAGCTTGCTTAGAGCACATGTGCGCCACGGCTAGTTGATCCTTGCATGCGCGTTCGAAAGCTAAGCTTCCGGTTTCTGGCGCTTCCGGTTTCCGGCACTTCCATGCACGCACGTTGGGGAGCTCTTCTGGTTTTTAGTGTGCGTGCATGCTCTCATTTTGGCACTTGGCGCCCAAAAAGGTTAGCCACCGCTGTTCTAAGTCTTTCTCACAGCCAACGTCTAGCAGGAAGCTTGATTTTACATCCTCGTTTTGCATCGGCCGAGAGCCGGTGAATCTAAGAGCATATGGAAGAAAGACATCGTTCCATACGGCTAGTGTCTCTGGTCTAGGCCAGACCATGCGAGCATGGGGAGAAGCTTGCGGTGGGGGCAGCTGGGGGAATGAAATCTCCTGGAAGAATTGTGGGTTGAAATTTCACACCATAATTCCTCCCCCATGAAAATGATTGTCCAGCCCTCAGATAGAAGAGATCTACTGCAACCTCAGAATTCTTCTTTGGAACCGGATCCATATTTTCTCCTGCAGTTAAAAGAATGGCTGGGGGGTCTTAGACCAAGACCTCGAGCAATTGAATCAAACAGATTTCCAGTGGGGGAAAAAAATCCCCACAGCTGTTCTTGTAAAAACCGCTTAGCCTAAACCAGGAATCTTGGCAATTTTAAAACTTGCAGACTTCCAACTCACACAAATCCTGAGTTCTGGAAGTTTGAAATCCCACCAGTCTTAAAAAGGTGCCATGTTTGGAGCCTCCCTGACTAAACCAGCATCGCGTGTCAGGGTCTATAATGACTACCTAAACCCAGTGTGAGGATTATTTATTACGTCCCTACCACGTTCTTAATTTTACTATATACAGAATAAATACTTGTACGAACTTCCAAATGCTGCCGCTTGCTTTGAGTCAAAGCCTCGTGTCTCATTCTTTCGTTTAATCTCACTGGGAAAGAGCTTCAGGTCCAACAGGAGACACGTGCCCAAGGGGCCCAATGAATGTCAGGATTTGAGACCCTTTTTTTTTCATCTACGGCGGGTTTATTTGAAGGAGGGAATCCCAGATGTTGAGTTGAACGGCGGTCCAAGCAATCTTTGGGGACGGAGATCAAAAATGCTCTATGTAAACATTGGGTTTTTTTTTCCTTCCTATCATCGTCCCACAAGTGGGGTCCTTTTTAAAAAAAAAAAATCAACTGAGTTGATTGGTTGAGGCAGGGATTGACCGTCTGGCTTGTCCCCTGACCTTGACATCATGAGCTGAGAGTGACTGCATCAGGGCTCTTGACAAATCCACCCTCATTCAAATCAAGTCTCTAGCCACATATCGGAAAAAGTAAATTGGTTTATTAGAAATTGCCATGTTGGCGCGTGGCTGGGTGCAGCCGGTACTAAATCACATCATACACTTCCCGCCCCCTGGATGTGACTTCTCCAATGGGACACATCCATCTCCAAGAGTTATCCATCATGTTCTCCAATAACCTTATGCTCCGACAAGTTTGGACTACCGAGGTGAATATCTAGGCATTTCAAGAATGCCTTGTTTTCTGCCACTCCCTTTTTCTGGCAGCTAAAAAGACCAAAGGAGTATCTTTTGAGTTGACAGACTGGCCTATCACCCAGCTGACTTCCATGCCTAAATGGGGACTAGAACTCCCAGTCTCCTGGTGATTGGGCCCAAAGTCACCCAGCCAGCTTTCATGCCTAAACTGGGACTAGAAGCCAGTCTCCTGGTACCTTCAGCATTAAACCAAACTGGCTCTTCTATGTAAACGTCGAATAAAAACACATCTCCAGTTAGAAGAATTAGAAAAAGATAGTATGGAAAGCTAGAAGAGAGTTCTCTAGTCCAGCATTATGAAGACTGCACCTAGCTTTTCATCCTCCGCATTTTGTAGGACCTTCGGGGTTCCTGTCAGAAATCTTTTAAGTTCCAAACATTTCATAGGCTCTTCAGGATTAATCCTTTCAAGAGCATCTTGTCAACTGGTGTCCTCAGTTCTATTTCCCTTGTGGTTAAATTAGAATTAAGGCAGCCAGGGTTTCATTTCCGACAGCAGGGATAGGAATTTCAAAAGACCTTCCTTTCCTTCCTCCACCGACGATTTGGTGGAGATCTCTTGGGTTTTAGAGATTTACTCTGTTGAGCTTTCCCTGGTGAAAGATGATCGTGCCGAGGTTGGAGAAATGTGATCATGAGTCCATTGGCTGGAATTTATTGCTTAAAGGAAAAGAGCAAGCGGCGGTTACCCATGCTTTTAACTTCCCATGTCTCAATTTTGCAGTTGTTTATGGAGTTCTTTCGTGAAGATTTAGCTGTTCTTAAATCTTTGCTTTCCTCCTTTTAAAGAAACAATTCAGCCAGACACAAAAAAATATAGACTGTTGTCAACCATAGTTCTTATTTGTAAGAACTTGTGAGGGAACATAATGTTCGTGAAAGAGCAACGTACACATTTCACCCCAAAGCCTCAACAGTCTCCTTTGCACTGTGGCTTCGTCAGTTGGTAGCTTGCAACTGACCAGTTCTTTGATCCATCCACCCATCCATCCACCCACATCAACTCATACAGTATTCTGTCCATCACATATTGTTCGTTGTATCATTAGATGCATGTACCAGACCAACCTCCATCTAGAGCCCATTTGCTGATGGAAGCAGGATTTTTTTTTTAACAACCCTGTAAATCTCTTGCATTGGAATGGAGTCAGAACAATTGAATGGAGCTGAGTGTTTGCTAGCCAGATGCCCTTCCTGACACCAATGCAGGGTTCACAGCAGATATATTCTATGGTGCCCAGAGAGAGAAATATCTGCCGCTACCTAGGATCGAACTCCCAACATGATTGTGAGGTGAGTGCCCCACCTCTAGATCACCACGCCGCTCCAGCTGATGGAAACAATGACCAAGGTATAACAGGTCCAGGTTTGTGATGTGATGTTCAGCTGAAGATACACCTCTAACAAAATGTAATTCAATGTAGAGAAAAGTAAAGTCCTACACTTAGGCAAGAAAAATCCAATGTACCCATATAGACTGGGTGAAACCGGGCTCAATAGCAGTAACTGTGAGGAGGATCTTGGAGTCTTAGTGGACAACCAGCTAAATAGGAGCCAGCAGTGTGCGGCACCCATAAAAAAGCCATTGCAATCCTAAATTGTATTAACAGAGGGATACAGTCAAGATCAAGGGAAGTACTAATACCACTCTATAAAGCCTTAGTAAGACCACACCTAGAGTATTGCATCCAGGTTTGGTCACCACACTATAAAAAAGATGTTGAGACTCTAGTAGTGCAGAGAAGAACAACCAGGATGATTAGGAGACTGGAGGCTAAAACATACGAAGAACAGTTGCAGGAACTGGGCAGGGCTAGTCTAGGGAAGAGAAGGACCAGGGGAGACATGATAGCAGTCTTCCAATATTTGAAGGGCTGCCACAGAGAGGAGGAAGGGGTCAAGCTATTTTCCAAGGCACTCAAAGGCCAGACAAGGAATAATGGATGGAAACTGAACAAGGAGATATTCAACCTGGAAATAAGGAGAAATTTCTCGACAATGAGAACAATCAACCAATGGAACAGAAGTTGCCTTCCATTCCTGGAGGCTTTCATGAAGAGACTGGACTGACATCTGTCAGAAATGGTGTAAGGTCTCCTGCTTGGGCAGGGGGTTGGACTAATGACCTACAAGGTCCCTTCCAACTCTTGTTAATCTGTAGATCTCCTATCAGAAGTTGATGGCCTTCAGCTTTAGCGTCCCCCTGTAGCAAACAATCAAAACCGACACACCAGGATAGAGATGGAAATAAACTGCACTTGTGTGTGCATTTTCCTTAGATGTGTGTACTAATCTGTCTTCAAAGTCCTAGTGAGACCTGGTTCTCACTCCGTAAGGATTGGGAATAAATATTTGATCGTTCTTAACTAATGTTCAAGAGCTTGTACTAAAGATAAGAAGATGAATATAATCACAGGTAATCCTCATCTTACAACCGTTCACTTAGTGACAGTTGGATGTTACAACAGCTCTGAGAAAGTGGCATATGACAGGTAGGTAGGTAGGTAGGTAGGAAGGAAGGAAGGAAGGAAGGAAGGAAGGAAGGAAGGAAGGAAGG